AACCCGGTGTGCAGTCAACCAATCAGCGATGGAAATTACTTGCATCCAATCAGAAACCTGGAGGAATTAGTAAATGCATTCGGTATATCGTTCATTCGGGATGCTGTGTATTCGGGATTTCATTCATTCTGGATGCTGTGTATTCGGGATTTCGTTTATTCTGGATGCTGTGTATTCGGGATTTCGTTCATTCTGAATGCTGTGTATTCGGGATTTCATTCATTCTGGATGCTATGTATTCGGGATTTCATTCATTCTGGATGCTGTGTATTCGGGATTTCGTTCATTCGAGATGCTGTTCATTCGGGAGTTCGTACTTTCGGTATGCTGTTCATTCAGGATTTCGTTCATTCGATATGCTGTTCATTCAGGATTTCGTGCTTTTGATATGCTGCACATTCGGTATTTCGTTTGTCGGGTTTATGGCTTGTCAGGATTATGGTTTTCGGGATGTCGAACCAATCCGATTAGGTTAGGGTCAGAGCTCATAACAATGGTTATCACGTGTCATAATAGAATTTAAATATCATTCCTCGGAAAATATTTTTTAGAAGAAATGATTTCTGACAATCCCGTATTAAAAAGCGCTGAATTCATATATGAGGTATTTTTTTTAGTAGTATACACAAAAAATTTGTAATTTAGCCGAGGAGTAATAGTAACAGGCGTGTTATCTCCATTTAGCATAGTAAAGATGTCCGAATTACCAAAGAGGGAATACACAATGCCGCCAATATTGTGCGTTAGATTTGAATTTTAACTTGTAAATGAAAAAATTGTAAATTTTGACATGACGATATACTATTTCTTTAAAAGGTATTTGAAAACATCAAACAAAAGAAATATTCTGTAAAAAACTGGAAGATGAATGATCTGCATCCTAAACAAGCAGACAAAGCGGCTATCAATTGGTACTACTAGAACTTGATACATATTCGATTACAAAATTAATGCAAATTACACGATGAATTGATATTTTTCGATTTCAGGATTTTTCTCGTTGATTTGCTAAATTTTTCCTTTTGGTCAGACCTCGATAAAGAGGATACCCCGGGACACTCGTGTCCTGACCGATTTACTGTTTTATATAACGATCGTTCGCATACGGGTTATTGGTCATTATGCGCCGCAATTAATCGAGGTTTGCGTCTTGTTTCGTTAAAATGATTGATTAGTATTAATTTTTTATTAACGACAAAATTGTGAATTAATAAAATAGCTTTGCAAAAAGGAATTCCTATTACAACGCCGGAATTTTATGCGTCAAAAGAGAGATTGAGTGATCTCGAGATTAAGCAAATATTTAAATCCGAGACAAGTGAAGATATTCCACTTTTAGAGGAGCGAATTAAATCAATTCGTCAAGCTGGAAGAATATTAACTGAGGCGAGTGTATAAATCGATTTTTTTACACAAATTACCAACTACGTCACAATCAACTAACTTTTTATTTACGTCGATATCTATTAATAATGACTAAAGAAATTCAATGGAACCTTTCTCACTTGTATCCAACAAGCTAATCAATCTTCACTAAGATTGCTTACTATTATTGTAGAAAATTTCCCTTCGTTTCGTGACGAGGCGTTATTTTTAGGAAGAACAGGTTGGTTGGTTGGTTTGCTAACTGTACTTTTTTTAGCTATTAAAATTAAAAATTAATTTTCTGCTTATTTAGTTAAATTTTATAAACGTGCACAAATATTAATCGCGGATATTTGGTATTATTATAACTCTTCAATTCTTTTTAATTTTCCTTTTGGTAATTTTCTTTCTTTTTGTTTAAGGGCATGTTTTGAGGGTTTAGGTTATGGCACTTTTCACGATATTGATGAGATTACAATATTTGCTGATTACAGGTATTTATCTATTTAATGGCAAGCAATATGAAGGCACGTGATTAATCAATTCCGGCTAAATTTAAAAGGATCATGCAAAATATGATCAGCATTACTCAAGTAACGCGAAAAATGGAATTTACCACTTGACCGCATATTATGTTATGCGTTTGACAGTTCCTATCACTAATGTTTTAGCATCTGTTCTGAAAATATTTTGTAATTTTATTTGCTTTTTTTCGATGATACGTCAAGAGTACCTCAGGTGAGTGTGATAATTAATATCTTAGAACTTTATGAAAATTTCTTATATATTTTTTTATAATTTAGGCGCTTCACCATCTCCAAGCGCTTTCTTACTCTCCATCTCTTGAAGCTACCCTCGATAACTATACCCTATTAGAAAGTGGATCACGGCTAGAGATAGAAATTCGCGGTACCATAACAAGAAACATACTCCGAAAAACCTACCAATAACAAATACTAATTAGTAATTATTTTTTGTCGCATAAAAAAAAGGATGTTCGATATGGGCAGTTGAACTGATACGCCGTCATATCGCGCAGAAATTATTACCTTCAGAAGATGGAAAAATTGGAGCTGAGGATAGCGAACCACTTCGTGTCAATGCCATACTTTTAGATTTCTATATCTGGGATTTTGCGTCGTCCAATAAAACAATGTTGAATGTGAAAATGCATAGAACTAGAAGTATTTTTTATTAGATTGTAACAAAAAATAAATAGCAAATTTTATAGATGTTGAGGTGGTGAATGCAGGCATGCTATATATTATATCTATTGTGACCTAATATTTAATTTTCTAGATTCTCAGCTAATTAACGGGAAGAAATGACATTTCTATGCTACATTTATAATCGATATATTTTTGACCATTTTTTTTCTGATAACGATTAAATCGGTTTAATCTATAAATTAATAATTAAATGAGTACCCAGGAAGGGAAAAAAATAAACGACAAAAGACGCGTCGTCGACAAACCTTAAAGTGTAATCCGATTAAAGAAAACACTAGACACTTCAAATCCTGCACTAGATAGTAGAACACACGAAGACCTTCCGGATCGTCACTTTCTTGCACATCAACTAGTGACCCAATTTTTGCAGTCTGCGCAAGAATTAATCTCTAGTATGACATATATGCAAATAAATAGATACAAATGAAAATCCAATTAATACCTCAAATGAGATATGTTCGTTTCCAAGACGAATCTCTAATTCTTGTCGCCCGACAACATTTTTCTTAGGCCATCGTGCATCATCTTCTCTTAAGTAATAAGGGAATTATATCCAGAGATACGACAATAGAATAAATGAAATTCGGTTAATGGGTTTTCCATTTGAAAATACCATTTATCATTGTTAGGAGAGAAGATAATTATAGTATAAAAGCAGAAAGAGGTCAAAAGTACACACTTCATAATTTCACTTTGCTGAATCATCTTTCGCAATTCTTTCATCATTAATGGACTCACATACACTATTGATCAAAAGAAATAATTAATTAGTTACCATTAATCGAGAAAGCCAAACAAAAAAAGTACATTGATTCGATCAATTATCTTTTTTCAAGTTCATGGAAACAAAATAAATACATAGATACACTACATACTTTCTTTTCTTATCAAACTATCGTTTCGGTAGTTTGAATTATTAGCATAACGACAACGACCGTCCGCACGAAACTCAAACTCTAGAAACTCGTGACCATAGCGTCCCATATGTCCAGTACTAGTAAAAATTACCTTTTTCAATATTATTTACTCAAAAAAAAAAAAAAAAAAAAACTAAATGAAACCTCGTTCTCAACTTACTAGTATCTTACATAAAACTCATCTTCTTTACCAGCCATTATAGATATTTCTTATGTTACTAGTTAGAGGTCGCAAAATAGCTAATTGAGAATTTTGTTATGCCTCTTAGGATATCTTGTAAGGTTAACATTAAAACTTCTCATTTCTAAAAGGTAACATTACGCAGATCGAAATTCACGTGATTTGTTTCTAACATATCACAATAATGTTCCTAAGATAATTCTTTCAACAATTATGATGCCAACTCTCCGCAACCAGGTCCTGACGAAATAATTTCTGATAAATGGATAGTAAAACAATACTACAAGGCACCATCTCCAAGCGACTTTAAAGACTTGAAACGTAAATGCAGTCCCTTTTTCCTCTTTCGTAGAAAGGTTAATGAGGCAATTCAAAAAAGTGGGAGAGTAAGAAGTGCCGGTAGAATTTCTAAACTCGCTGCTGAATTGTGGAAAGAAACACCTCCTAATGAAAAAGAGATATACAACCTTTTTGCCGAAGTTGGTTGCCGTTCTCTTTGAATTCATATATTTTATTGGGTTTTATTTCAATATATGCATTATTGTCCAAGTTCTAGCTTAAAATAGAAATAAATAACAATTACATCCATAGTGACGAAAAAAGAACTAGTACAACACTGTAGATCCTTGACATGTGCGAAATTTTTTCGAAAATGGTAACGAAAATAAAAAATATTCAATTAAAGATATGTGCAGTAGCTTATTATATACATATGATGAGAATCAAATGAATCAAGTGTGCGTTGCGCTGACAGAACTCTAAGAGTATGATTCCATGAGTATGGCAAAAGTATTGTTATTGTCGTTTGCATTTGTTGAATTAAAGTTGTCATTCAAGATATCTGATGTACCTTGCAACATCACTTGAACCGCGTTCAGATTGCTTGGTGGCAGCTGTTGTTGCTGTGGTGGTAATTGTTGTTGATTTTGCAATAGATTTTGACTCTGCGACTGATGTTGATTTTGCATTCTCAGCGGAGGAATTTGAGGTAAACTCATTTTTTTGTTGTATAAAGTCTAATAAAAGACAATTCGTGGCGAATTTATATTATCAATCGGACATTGGTTCTCCGCTATGGATTCATTTTTCTTTGGTGATTTCTTTCCTTATTATCCTTATTAAATAAAGAACATTATAATGCTTTATTAAATAAAGAACATTATAATGCTTGGCTGTCAAAACACAAGCAGGCTATCGTACGATCCAATTTACATTTCGAAATGAATTTACTATGCTTAATTTCATTGGTAATGAATATCGTTCGATCCAATTTATATTTCGAAATGAATTTACTATGCTTATTTTCATTGGTAACGAATATCGATATGCTTATTTTCATTGGGCTAATTTTATCCATATATCGATATAGATATCGGTTTCTTGCGAAATGAATGATATGGGTAATGTGCAAAAATTACTTCTTAGACCTTTAAATATAAAAAAAATGAAAATAATGAAATTTGATTGGTTATTGGATTAGGGCACTGACATTTATTACATAATATCATTTTGATAGAGGTGTCCACCCCCCCCAAGCAAAAATGCTTAATAATGCACCACCAAAGATCCAGCTCTCCTAAAATATATGTCACGGCCCTTATCGTCAGTAATTAACGACATTTATTAATGGGATTATTAATCAATCTTCGATAACGGATCTTAAAATGGATTTTAAAATGGATTATTAATCAATCCTTCTATATATAATTAAACGGATTTTCAATTTAACCTTGGAATCTTTTAACATCATACGTACAAAGTGATTGTTACATCAATCACATCATCATTACGTAATGGTAATTATTTATTTATGTAGAATTAGAAAATAGGTTTATCATTCACTGTATTAATAAAAAGTATTTAATGAATATCGTGATCGGATTTTTTTATTATATTACATTGAAGAGTAAAAATAAGAAAAGAGAAAAAACGCGAAACGTGCATAATTTCCAAAAAAAAAGATTATATGATACAAATTACAATAAAAATAAAAAGTTATTACGAAAAAAAAATGAGGTTATTTTAATCTAAATTAAATCGATGCATGTGATAAAATGAAATTATTTTTTTTATAAAAAGATGTTATTGTCCGTTAAGTAAAAAAATTAATGCTAAATCAATCAAGAATATGTGTGTGCATGTATGCATATGTGAATGTATGTAAATGAGATGAATATGATTGATGATAATAATGATGATGAATAATAATGATAACAGAACATTAACTAAAACGAGCTATATACAAAATTTATATAGAAGAGGGAAGTGTAGTACTATCCATTAGATCTCTGATGTTAAAAAACCAGGCTCCTATAAAGATTCTTTTGCTTACTAGTAAATACAAATTGCCCACTTAATTGAAGATGTTGTAGTAAGAGAATCAAATGTTTACTGGTGACTATTATTTTTCTTCACACTTTTGAAACTCATACTGCTACTGTTAATCCCTCATACTAGAGTTAAGCGTTTCCTTTTACGCCGATCCTCTGCCCGCCAACTTTATTATACCTCCAAATATACAATTCATTTCTAATCCCCCTGATCGCGTATTTACTAACACTTTATTTTCCAATACCCATCCAATCAGTTGTCGAATAAAGATGAAATCCGAAGTTACAATTCTTCCTGTTCTTTCTTTACAACCTGAAATACTTCATAATCATCAACGCCGAAATAATTACACTTCTCGCGTATCTTATTCTGATATCGCAATCCACCAGTACCATAACTACTCTTACACTCATTCGCTTCATCCAATATTTTAAATTCGTAGAAACCAAAAGACGGTCCAAGTCCTTCATGCAGTTGTATAGCGTCTTCCGTACAATCAGCTTTTATGCGTGAAAGCCTGGTTTTTTCCAAATTTAATTCTTTTGTATCGCCCAACGAAAAAATAAAACTATCTTTTGTCCCCTTCCATTCAACTTCCCGCGGACTACTCCACCCAATAGGATTATACCCACCAATCACTTCTTTCGAATCTTCAACCCTCACTACTACAATTGTCGGACCGCGATTATCACATCGACTATGAAACATTTTTGCCGAAAACCCGTCTCTACTACCCCGAAATAATAATTTGAAATAGTATTTAGAGGGTAGTAATTCAACAAACGAGGTTTTTGTACTAACAAATTTACGGTCAATCCAACGAGAGACAAGTGCAGCCTGTTGATGTGTGATAATTATAGAATCGATGGCCCGTTCAGGAACTATGAAATTAGGCGGTGGCGATGGCAGTGTAATTGTTGTAGGAGGTTCAGGTAAGGATGGAACAGGGGTCTTTGAAAAGTGATGAAATAGTTTAAGGTTTAAATTTTTTGTCAAGATCTTCTCAAATGGTTTGACTTTTTCATTGTAATCCCCCACCGACAATTGCCAGAATCTAATAAGCGGGACACACTTGTGCAAAGTCTTTTTCAATCCCCAAAAGTCTCGCTGTGACCAAGCACCCACATCATTCTGCAAATTTGGTGTATTTGCCACGCCCCATCTAATCAAGTATTCCCACAATTGCGCCTCATCCATATTTAAATCATCACGACTAACAAGCATAATCAATGTGCTCTCCTCTAAATTAATAAAATCTTCAGAGTCAAAATATCGATATGGATCCGGACATAAAGTGTTTAGACAATGTTCTCGTAATTTAAGACATGCGTCACGTTGAATAACTGTGTCTAGAATCCGTAAGAGATTCTCTTTGAACCATTTCTCCATGTTACGTATGAGATGCTCTTGCAACGGTTCAATTAACTCATCAAGGATCAGCTCGTCAGCGGCAACTAATAATTCTAAAACATCGTCACCGTCTTGATGATCGAGATATATTGCACCACTGTAAATATATCTTTTAGATTCCATAAATGAAATTAGGAAGGATGTGCGCTTGCGTGTGAATAAACTTTCCCAAAAACATGATAATAATGTTTAGGTATATTCGGTAGGCTGTTGCTTGCTTACCTTAATATTACATCAAACACAGCAGGAGAAATGTTTGGCTTTTCAAAGACGAAGCACTCGCCTTCTTTTTTCGCCCAGTTACTCGATAGAGCCGCACGAAAGTATTCAGACCTAGCTCGTAAGATGACAGAGTGCGCTTGAAACACGGCGAACTCTGGGTGATTTCCAACTTTTACAATGACATTAAAGTCATCCGCGTACTCGAGTAGTCTTCCAAGATTATCAGAGAGTTGTGAAAAGAATTGTAGGGACATTGCAGTGCAAGTCTTTATTTTTTAAAAAAAAGATAGAAATATTAACAACGATACGGTTGTCGTGTGCTTGTTTGTTTGTTATTTTTTGATACAGAATTGGTTGGTATCTAAGAATGGTGTGGCTTGAAAAGTATATATGTACACACATGTGCGTATTAATATAGTGGAAGATGCACGAATCATGCTGAAGACTAATGTTACGCCAAATAAGGAATAATTTTTGTTTGCCACGTTTTGATTTAAATAAAATTTATATTTCTTTTTAAAGGACGAAATTTTGAACAAGAAATGTGTGAATAGAATGTATAAGAATGTTATTATGTAGGGTGAGTATATATACTTTTATTCTATTAATAGGGGACGAGGTGACGGTGATATAGATCTAAAAGGAAGAATTATAAGTATTCCATTTGTATCTCAATGTAAATATTATTTTTATAGAAAAATCGGATCAGAAGTGGTTCACAAGAATCCCAAGATACAATTGGAATACTTGTAATTCCAAATAGAGAAGATTTTACTAATGGAGTGAAATATAGAGCTAATAGATCGAAATATAAAATACTTTTAACAGATAAAGATAATATTATTATAGATTTATTAGAATTTACTATAGAAAAATTAGATGCTAAAGAAAAACACTTGGAAAAGAATTATTAGAAAACGAAATAGATTCATTAGCATTAGAAAATAGAGAATTAGAAAATATATTAGAAAATATAAGAGTAGATAGATGATTTTTTTATTTATTAATATTTTCTTTATTAATAAATCTATAACAATATTCATAATTTCGAAATTAAGTTTTAATTTTAAATGATATCCAATCAAATTTAGATTTTCAATTTAATGTCTCCACATTCGTTTACTATATTTATTGTTATGATGATTACTACTTATTTAAGAATCGTCATTGTTTCCTCCATCTTTACGAAGCCACGCTCTTCCGGCCAACACTTTTCGGACGCCCACATTAAACCTATTAGCCGCGGCGCCACTTCGATCAGCTATAGATATTCGATCATTTGTTGTTAACAAGGCGGCATTATTAAGAATATTTGGAAGCGATTGTTGTATGGTAGTAGATGTGGACCATGTCATCAACGACAGGATACTCGAGTTTTCCACAAGATTAGGATGATCTTGTATACGCTGTTGAAACATGTTTATTATTGGTTGCTGTTCAATCTTTTTTATACCCTAGAAAATCATTAGGATTAGTACACCAGAATTTCAATTAATTTAATAAAATGTAGAGAGAATCGATTTACATACTTTCAAGTCCAGTATCTTTTGAATGTTGGCCGGATTTCTATCTCCAATGAGAAGAATGTAATTGCTCACTAAGCCATCCGGTGGTTCATGAGGAGTAAGAACCAATTTGAGGATAGTTTCTATCTTGCTTATTCCTTTGTTGACAATCTTTACAAACCTAAACAAATTCAAAATATTGAACAATGCTATTTTTTTATTAAAAAAAGATACTGTTAAATCATAAGCGCTTACGTCGTCGGCGGAGGCGCAGGATTTACGATACCTAATGTTGGTATCTCCAAAATGCTCGTTTTAAGAGCGTGGATATCAAGTAATAGCTAATTGCGAATATTTTTCTTTAAGTTTATTTTATAATACAGATAGAAGACGAAGAGAATATATCATTACCTGTTCAGCTCCTATTTCAGAAATAGGCTTGCACTTTGTCAAATTATTGATAATACGCATCACAAAAGAACTAAAATAAAGGAATCTACAATTAACATAAAAATCCTTATCTAAGAAATGAATTAGGTTAAATCTGACTTACTCTACGAATCTATCACAAAATATTCGAAAATACCGATTATTTGTGATTCTCTTATGAACAACGACAACACACGTTCGTAAAGTCGATTGAAACATCGAGACATAATCGGACTGGTCACCCACCGATTCTAAGTCACCCCATGACTTTTTGCTCATCATTGTGAATACGTCTTCGTTGTTCGTCTCGATTCCTTTTACAAGACTTGTTATTGCTATTGTGACAACACTGCAATTAAAAGATGCGGTTTTATAAATCTTCGTATTGAACGAAGTTTTAAGAATTTTCGATATATTGCGACGAAATATATATTGAAGAGATCATATAGAAAACTTACTTTAGGAACGCTTCACGTTCAGCTTCAAAATTTATTTTATCTTTATATTCTTCATCAATTGTTTCAATTAATTTGTTTTCGAGCTTACAAGCGAATATCACAAAAAAATTCAATGGATTTATTCGAAAGATTCGAAACAATAATAATTTGTATCCTAGCTCACCTGTGATGTCGTATTATAGCAATAATCCGTAGTATTCAGAATGATGCAAATATTTCTGAGCTCTTGACGCGTCATTACACGTTTTTCTTCTCTAGAAATTCAGTTAGAGAAATATTTAATTTGGAGGGATAATCAATTAGCTAATATAAACCACACACATAAACCGGATTTAACAGAAAGAAACCTCCATGAAAAATCAACATACATACTTCGGCAATTTTCCAATCAACACATCACTTGCATAAATTTTCAGCCACTTGCCAAACATATCAGCCAAATCGAGAAACGATTGACCGGTCGACAACTTTGCGAAATTTTTAAGTGTTTCGCCGTAATAGTAGAATAGGTCGGTGCTCGATATAAATACGGGATCTTCATCGGAAATTAATTCGTTACGATACGAATTGATCATTTCAAAAATTATTCTATTGAATTCAAAATAAAAAAGTAAATCTTTGCACCTATTTTCAAAAAAGATAATACTTCCTTTTTATTTACCTGTCTTCCGCGTCTATATAAATGCCAAGATAAGGTTGAAAGGATATTGAAATGCTTTTTTTGAATTCGTATCGTTTTGGCGAATCTGTAGACGAGGGCGAACCCGTATTTTCCTAAGATCGGTGTCCACACATAACATACATAATTCTATCAGTTATGTTATTTCCATAATACATAGAAAAAGGCTAAAAATAGATACCAAATTATTGTATTTCTTCGACAGCTGATTTTCAAACTCAATAGTAAGTTGCACATTCTTCAACAAAACTTTAACGTCTAAATCATTCGCAATCATCTTAAGCGTATTGGACACATCTTCTCTAGTACAGAAAATGACATTCATTTAACAAATAAATCTAATAAAATGGCAAGGATTGCATATACTACTATACCTGGTTATTTCACAAAATTTCCAACTGAGAATTTCATTCAATCGCCAGTGCTCTGGAAAAATAATCGCATGATCTTTATCGTAATTTTTTATCGCGCGATTTAACCACGCGTATCTTCGTGTTAAGTTATCAATGGAGCTCATCTGAAATAGTAAAAAAAAAATTAAATTAATAAATGAATTTCCAAAATTTTTTCCAATAATTACCTCTTCACGATCCCGAAATATTCGCTTATATTCGCGCAATTGTTTCTCACAATACCAGTTACAAAGTTGATCTCTGTCAATATCAATAATATCAATAATATCAATAATATCAATAATATCAATAATATCAATAATATCAATAATATCAATAATATCAATAATAGCAATAATAGCAATAATGGGTTCGAGTTTTTATTGCAAATTTATACAAAACTTAAGAATATAAAAAACTCTCACACTCACTTTATGTCTTTTCCCATAATTTCCGTTACCAAACAAGCATCCGCAAGCGGTGCTTCTTGAGCAATAAGACTACCATCCTGTGAAAAGCTATATATCGTGTAAATAAAAAAAATTCTGAATTTATAGTTACATACAATACCGAAAAGGATTTGATACATGTTTATGTACCTCAAATCAAAATCTCTAAATATTTGCTGTTTGAGATCATTTTGGAATAAAGTAACGGACGAAGATAAATCCGAAATTTGTTTAATACTTTTGTATCGTTGAAAGTGTTTTGCCAATTCCAGCACTGCCTATATTATTTGTTTAAATAATGTATATAATAAGCACATATAAGACAGATACACATAGTTTGGCAGAATCACGCGAATACGGTTATAGAAGCGGCAGGCATACTTGCAAAAGTTGCGATGTTTCCTTGTACTGTCTTAAACGTGCCATTTTCTTCAATTTATCAATGGCTACCACTAATTTAATCAATTTGATTAATAAATGAAATTAATTTTCGTTCGTAATATCAATCGAATATTAAAATATTTTACCAAGCATGTTCAACCGTTTCAATGTAGTGATAGAAACTGTCAAATGTCGTTTAGCATAATCAAGAGACTTTATATCCTGCGTTATCTCTTGCACAATAATTTCCGATTGCGTAGCTTTCTCTTTTATTTGTTTTATACGCTCAAAGAGTTCCTGTCAAGGAAAAAATTTTCATCATCAGCACATGATATTTTCGCATCATCCAATGCTACCCAAACCAACCTCTATAGCTTTCTTTGTCGCGATCAATTCCTCGGTTCCTTGGCTTTCACTAGAAGAATCTTTCTTCACCCTAGTTAGTTCACGTATCTTATTTTCGATTTGCCGCATTTTAATTTGTAGTTTTTTCATGGTGATATCGACTGAGCCCAAAGAATCTTCTAATTATTTGTTATCCAATTGATTAATTTTTCAATCATCGGTTTTTTGTTTTTTAATTGATGAAGTGTGACTTATACAGTAAAGTTACCGTCAGGAAGTAACTGGTTAATATATTCTATTGGGTTGAAGTCACTACTATCAAGTGGATCATTTGATTGCCATATTTCTGTGACAGCTGCTTCCAAATCGGAAGGGAGCTTAACTGGCTCACTATATGAATCTCCAGAAACAATGGAACCATGAAAATTTTCTTCTTGTTGCTGCATTAGACATTCGAAAATAGTAGAAATTCGATTATTGTTATCAATTGATCTAGCTCTAATTATCTATGGAATCTCCTACCGATCGACACGATTTGTTGCCCAGTCAGTCGGCCTTAAAATAACAACCTACCGCTACCTTAGTGATTGTCTCATTTAATCTTGCGTAACTAGGCAAGAAGGTCACATCAACTGCATTTTTTTCGATATCCACTGACAAATATCGGAATGTGCAGTCTTGAATCAAACAAATGATCTTTATAGGTTTAATCATACGAGTCGTGATTTATTAGAATACGAAATTTCTCATATTATCTATGGTTTTATACGAAAATACACTTTTATTTGACCAATTGAATTTCTAATAATTAAATACTTATGTATTAATTAATCTAGTTAAAAAAGAAAGATTCGTTTCTTCAATTTAAATAAAATCATGTAATCCCGAATTATTAAACAGTAATTTTCTAAAAAAGTAAAAAATATAGTACAAAAAATTATTTATCTTTAAAAATAGTCTGTTAATTATGCGGTTCTAGCGGTATTTCCTACGTTTCCATTTAACAAAATACCAACTTCAGGTATTAAATCACTGCGATGTTATCCATTATTATTATTATTATTATTATTGATTATTATTATCGATTATTAATTATTGCTGCTGTTATTAACGAGAATAGAATTCCGTGATGTAGTCGAGGATGATAAATACGTTCCATTATAGTCGGTTTATTGATGAATTGTCGGTTGTTGAATTATTGTCATCATCATTATCATTAATAACTATAGGATTACGTATATTTCTTAACGGTGAATAATCTAATTTAAAAAACTCGGTCAATATAAATTAAAATGAATCGAGAAAATGAATTGGTGTTCACCTGTATTACTTGAACCAAGACTATTTGTACGTTCTTTCATCTTTGCCAAGTTTGTATAACTCACAGTTCTTGACGAAAGTCCATTCACAGAGATATTAACCACTGGTTGTGGACTAACAAATCCTATTTCGGTATTACTACCACCACTCGAGAGGTTATCTTTTGTAGAGATTTGGATGGATTCCATATCATTGATATTTCCATTCCCATTAATATTAGTGTTACTAGCACCAGACGAGGGCAAAACATCAACGCTAATAAATCCAAAATGATTCTCTTCAATATCATTGATATTTCTTGATGATGGTGGTGACTTGAAGAATAATCGAATTGGCGAAGTAATTCGTAAAATATATAATCTTAAGCGAATTGAAACCATTTTTATAAGGTTAAATAAAGAAGCGGAAGAAGGAGATGCTGAATATTGTCCGTTTACACCTCCATTATCTAGAATTCCGTAATCGGGGCCACCATCTCGAGCACTACTTCTAGAGGAAAAAGAAAACGGAGAATATAATAATCTCGAAAGAAATCCAAAACTAAGTCGCCGTCTTTTCCCATATCCCGATTTTCTTGTTATTCCCCACCAAAATCCGGTGCAACACAAGAACATTGCCAAAAGAATAATCCATTCTATCATATAATTATAATATCCAAATAATCCACGTCCTTGCGGTTCCGGTGGTGGATTATTTGGCGCCATCGCATTCGGAATTAAATTTGACGCTTCTAACACTATTTTACCCAATGTCCAACTAACTTGAATATCTTTTATTTTATTAATACTCTGAAAAGATGGTGGGATTGTTATTGTGTTATTGTCAACATTGGGTTTTAAATAATCATTTGATGATTTCGGAAGATTAATTCCCTCATGCAACATGTTTGTTAGCCATGCTGCTTTAAAGCATTGCATTTCCAATCGTTGTAAATCCACACCAGAATTTTTCCATTTGTTGTTTGTTCGATATTCAGTTTGAAGGTCGTTCCAATGTTTTGCGCAATATTCACCAGCTTTTTCTTTGAATTTCGCGTAATCCCATTCTCCATCAAATCCGAAAATTTCATGAGTTGAGTACCAAAATTCCGATATTCCAATAAAATGGTTCACTGAGAAATCAATATTCGGTGTGTGAACCCCGTTAAATAAACATGGATTGTCGTAACATGGCGCGGTTTTATTGATTAACGGTGATGTCAATTCGAGACATTGGTCGAATGATCCGGTTCCTTGTAATGAGTAATATGGCGGTTTTGTGGTCGTATCGGTGAGTATTAAATCAACGGGTAAACATGGATCTTTTAATAGTGTGGTCGGTTGTTCTCTTGCATTTTCTGGATTAGCAAATAAATGCTCATGAGTTTTCATGTAATAGTGAATACGTTCTTCTACATATCTACGTCGTGCTTCATTAGTCCCAAATCCCAAGAATGTAGAAACAAATACTTTATATTCTAACGGTATGCCCGCCAAAGTGTATAAATCTACCGTAGTTAAATCATTTGCGTGTTCTTCTGCTTCTTTAATATTCGGAACAAATGCAATCTGTGCACTCGCTCCACCCATATCCAAAAATCCAAACGTTGTCGTATGCCCGCCATCAATTTTTTTTTTCATCTGTTCATCCGCAATATACACATCTGTATTATTGTTAATTGCACCCGCGATTTTACTGTCTGTATCAAATCCGCCCTTTAAATAATTCACGGCCAACCAGCCAAAAATTCCCTCCCATTCACCAGTTATCACTTGTACATGAGCACTACATTGATCTATGCGAAAAAAATAATTATCCCTGATAAAGTTACATGCGTTATCGATAATTTGTTGCTGCTCATCAATTTCCAGCAATCGCATTCCGGCAGTGGCCAATACATAAACTGGTGTTATATCAACTATATCTGGTGGTACAACTTCCAATGCGAAATCTAATAATTTTTTAAGATGATCCGGTCCAACCAGAGTTGGCTTCTTTGCAAAACTCGATATGCCTAGAAATCAAAAGAGAAATAAAACCTTAAGACTTTTTGAATTTATTATGTTCATTTTTTATCCATACCTGGTTCAACCTTTTTCTGCCAATGTTCACCATTCTCATCCCCAAGTTCAATCGTAGGGAGCACGGAAAGCTCGCTATCCGGTTTACTATGTCTCACCCATCGATGATCTTTCCACGAGTATATTTGTACTCTTGATCCAGAACTACCAGCATCTATAACTACTCCGAAATTTCTATTCTGTAACCATGCACTTTCAACTGATGGCATCGTCTTCGTCGTTTTGTTTTCTAGTTCTTCCCCGAAATTTCAAAACTTTTTTTTACAAATTTTATTCAAATAAATAATAACGATAACATAATTTTTTAATATAGTATGAAAGGATAGGAGGAACGGTGGCTTTTTCAATGATCGACTATGTCAAACTATGTCGATCAACCAATAAGTAATTTTGATAGATGTAATTTACCGAGTATCGTTTATAACACATGTATCATATCGATATTAGTTTGAAATAAAAAATTATAATACAGATAAACCTCTCTAAGTGCACCCCCGAAATGGTGAGATCAGGAGCAAAAATGATAAAGATGACGGAAAAGAAGAAAACGGCAATAATGACAAAGATGAGATATTGTTATTTCAGTTCTTTAATCAAGAAATTAAATTTTTTTTTTTAATTGCTCTTTTTATGGCAAAGTATCTAAAAAGTCCAAGTTTTCAAACTTATAAGAATTTAGGATTTAAATATTTGCTAATTGTTGATTTGCCATATTGTTAATTATTGATACTTATCTATTAATATTTAGTAATAAATTATTATTATTGAGTAAGCATTTTTTTCGATGATCATAGTTAAGTTTATTTGCTCAACTGTTTCACATTAAGTAAGCAAGAAGAATAATTAGAAGATTTAGTGGCCGAACTAAAAAATGATGCTTCTTTCTCCGAATATGAAGCCTTGGAACCAAGACAGTGTGCATTTAGAGAGGTTGTGCACTTATAGAGAGCAAAATACATAAAGCTCTTATAAGCTGGAACTGAGCATTTAGAGAGATTTATCTGTACTTTTAAGCCAGTTTTTAAAGATTATATAAAATATAATAATGCTTTTAAGCACAAGGTAGGAAGTATTGTTGACAAGTTCTGGAACTCAATTGAGACAATAAATACTGTGGCTAATGCTCAGGTAAATGGCTTTCTAATATCATTTATCAGTTAGAAAAAGGTTCAAATATATGGGATTAGTTGTTGATATAATCAAAATCATTTTCATATAATAATTTTTTTGTTTAAATTGTTCAGATTGATGATGAGATTAGTAATAATAAACATTCTTTGTTGCAAGCAGTTTTAATATTATAAATTCTTAGAGGATATTCTCAATAAAAAAACATTAATTAGTCAGAATCTATGAAAAATACAATAAACTTCTTTGATAGCTGCAGCAATAATGAATTTAATGCTCAAAAGATTAAGTATTGTAGCTGTTTCATATTTGCCTATAAGAATATATTATTATTTTATTTAAATCTTCTTTTTAAGTTATTGTTATCTCATCCATTTTTATTTTTGCAATCACACCAACCTCTTTAGTAACTTGCATCATTAAAGCAAGCAGACACTGTTACAGCATTAGTGACTTTTTTCCCAAGATATGATTCTGTGATTTCTTTCATTTACAAAGAACCATTGCTGATATTTCCTCGGGAGTGAATATTTTCTCTTTGCCTTTCACTTTTACTTGGATCACTGGCTTGTCATCTTTGTTGATAATTTTGAATAGGAAATGTTTTATATCATTTTGCACGTCTCTATCACTGAATCGTTGACCAATTAATCGTCTTGCGTCAAATATTGTATTCTTCGGCTTTGATTTTGGCCGCATCTCATTGAGACATTAAGAAAAATATAATAGTAGAAATTCAGTCATAGGTGGAGAAAAACAGCTCGGGACAATAAAAGAAAACGAATCATCATTGAAAACTCTTAGTAGTGGTGGCGAAGACGAACTTTCAGATCCTTATCTTCCGCCTCTTCACTTATAAGGACTTAAAAGCAAGTGTAGATGACTCATGATTGATAGAGAATGGAATAGCTGTAGTGAGATGATCCGTCCACATGCTCGACCTTTTTTAATTTACGGGATACTATGAATAATAATAATTCTTTTAATATTTTGATAGGAGAATCTTTCTCAAAATAAATATTCTGTAATTGCGTAGTTGCAATTGAGAAATCGTATATAATTATGTCAAATGTGATATAATTAGATCGAATAATTATTATATCTATATGACACCTAGCGAATTTCGAGATACTATCAATATATAATGTTCTTATTTCTTAATAATCTTCATAGCATCAAATGCTTCTCGCTCAGCTTCTTCGGCCACAACTTCTGCAATTATCGGAGAAAGATACCTCACATCCTAAAAATAATCAAACTGGTATGAGTTTTCATCCTTCTTTCCACCTCTAAAAATCAACTAATCAATAAACAAAAGAAAAACGGAACTACCTCCTCCGGTTTAATCCACTGCTCCTTTGGCAAGATATTATGCTGTATAGAAAGTTGAAACGCATTACGAATTCGTAGACTACGATAGTTATCTTCGTGGATTGGTAGTCGCCTCAACGCTTCTTGAACCGTTTCACTTTCTTCATGTATGATGTCATCGTATCGTAAACCTTTTTTATTTTGGACATATGATTTAACAGAAGCCATTATTGTGGTAATAGTAACGATAGCATCAATATAAATTTTTTTCTCCGTTGATTTTGAGGCAAATACCACAACATAATTGAACGATAAATATCACCTCTCGAGCAAATACATCAATTGGTGGTTACGAGAAAATGACTTACCGAGTTTTCTGTATCCAGACGCATTGGCAACAGCATTAGCTATTGGTTTCAAAATTCTAGTAAGAAATGGGCTCTTCCTAATGTAAGGTGCTAGCGTAGGGTACGACATGCTATCTACCACTAACAATAGTGATTTTTTAAGCATATAATGAATATCGCGCGTGAGATCAATGGTGTTACACAAAACGGCGCAGTTACGTGTTTGATATATAAGTCGAACCTCATTAATTAATTTATTTAAAGACGCGAGACATTTCTTAATATTAATTAGGAAGAGTATACTTTAATTAAACATTACGAAAAAGTCACACCTTCAACCAAGAAACTTTAACAATGGCAACAGGAAGTACAAGCACCAACATCAGCGAACTGAAAAAAATCAAATTAACTTCTTCCGAAGGTACCGAATTTGTGGTAGACAAGGATGTTGGTGAAAAATCAATTTTGTTGAAGAACATGTTGGAGGATGTCGGTGAAAATGATATGGGTATTTTATTGTTTACATATTCTTCATATTCTTCATTTAGAATATTTGTCGCGCCTAGATTTTACATTATCAAATATTTGGGATTTTTGTCATTCAAATTTTAGCGATTCCTTTACCAAATGTCACTGGACCCATTCTCACTAAAGTGATCGAATACTGTACACATCATCGTGATGACTTTTTTATCAGCCAAGATGACGACAACAAGAAAACCAGCGATGATATTGACGAGTGGGACAGTGAATTCTGTAAAGTTGATCAAGGGACACTATTTGAACTGATATTGGTAATTCTATTTCATCATTCTCTTAATTGAATAGAGAATGTTAGCATGCTAATCGAAGTCTTGATTAACAGGCTGCTAATTATCTTGACATTAAACCACTCCTCGATCTTACCTGCAAGACCGTAGCAAATATGATCAAAGGTAAATCACCCGAGGAAATACGTAAAACATTTAATATAGCAAATGATTTTACGCCCGAGGAGGAAATTCAAGTTAAACGCGAGAACGAATGGTGTGAGGAAAGATAAATGAGTAATCGATGGCGGATGAAAAGATGGACAAAGTTTAAATTAGTCAAAATAGCTTTTTTTATGTCATTTATAATTAGCATATACATATTATAATTATTAATAGAGTATTTATAATAATATAATACGTACTTTTATTTAGACTAATGTATAGAGAATTCTTTATTATATACGCTCTTGTATTCTATTTTTTGAATTTTTACATTGTTTTTCTTTGGCTTTTTTTTTTATTAACTGTTACAAATAAAAGCTGACTGACATTGAAATTGAAAAGAAATCCATAAATAGTTGTGGTGAGATTTAAAATAATAAAAGTTTTCCTCTAATTGATTCTCGTACTTGACATTCTATTCGATGAAATAGAAAGCTCTTTACAACTTGCAAGTCGAGATTCGTTCAGTAACGAAATTGTAACTTTTTCCTCGTGCTAATAAATTTCTGGTAACCGTAAATTATGGTGCAGCTAATGCCGTCGACGTTGTTGATATAGTGAAGTTTTTTAATTATAGCCGTTGCGGAACATTACGTCGTATCGACGAAGTTCTTCTGGACGACGAAGTTTTTAGAGACGATGAAGTTCTTAGAGACGATGAAGAACCAAAATTCTGTGAATGTATAGATTTATCCCGTTCCTTGAATCCGAAATCCTTATATTTCTCAGGGAAGGCGGTCCTACACCTTTGGTTTAAAAAAAATAAACGTCAGTATTATATATAAACATAATGGTGTAGCATAAATGGAATAATAAAAACGGTATATACCTATCCTTAAGATCAATGGCACTTCTATGTGCCAGCCCAATACTCTCATCCTTAATCATCAAGGACCAACCTCGACCGTACTTATTTTTTTTTTGAAAATAATTTTCAATAAAAATACGCAAAGAATTGAATGAATCTTTTCTTTTTAATATATATATACATACATGCATCGATACAACGCTCACATTCAATAGAAAAATAGTTAAAAAAATATAGTGAAAGAAATAGAATTTAAAAGTAATGGCAAAAAAATACTTACTGTTTCGATCCCACGCAGAAGTTTCGTATCTTCTTCGGAGGTAAAATACTGTTTTCTTCGGTTTGGTGCGCAAAGTTCGAATGGTGGAGGGTTTGCATATCTTGATTGTGAACGCGGTTGTGTGTTATATAACCGCGCGTATTCCTCAGGAAACAGACCGCGGAATCTATTTTTTTTTTTTGGTAAAAAGTAATAATTGGCATAAGTTGAAATAACATATATAGTTCACATTCATTTCTATTTTATTCAAACACTATCTTTTATAATTTCAAAGTTTAAACAAAAAAGAAATACTTGCTTGTCTCTCAAGTCTACGGGACGCCGGTCTTGAAACTTATATTTGGGGTCAAGGAAAATCGCGTTCCAGTCTCCAACACCATGCTATCGTTTCAATGGAAATAGCATAGAGAACATATTTTCAAACAGTAAAAGGGCATTAGCAAACGCAAAAATAGTCTCGTATAAAATATATAATGTAATTACAGTATAGCATCCGTCAATTAAGTCTGCAGTCTCGTTTGGAGTCCACTTTCGTCTTGGGCGAATAGGTGAAAAATAGTTAGAAGTACGTTGTTGTTCCACCATAATTATAACGATAGTTATAATAACGGTAACGGTAATAACTCAAATTTGTTTTGAAACAACTAGACGGCTGATAGTTTATCTATCATGCATATTGGTCAAAATGAGTGACGGTCCGGACCGAACGCCGGCCGGCTGGGTCGAAGTGGATCGAAATCGAAACTATACATTTTTTTTTGACAAAGGAGAATGGGCAAACAACGAAACTCTAGAGCTAAAGAACGACGTCACGACCCATTACATGTTCAATTAGAAGACGCGGAAAAGTTGCCAAAGAAGCCGCCTCGTGAAAAATTTGTTAAAAGGAATCAAAAAGAGGAAAAAGAGGATGTACGTGTATTAATATATATTTGCTGCGACTCATTAATTCATTGATTTGATGGCTCTCGTCTTAAACATTGGTTTTATATTGTTATCAATCATCAGGAATATATTGAGTCGAGATTGTCGCGTAAAATCTTGGAATTTGCTCAAGTTCAGCAGGAAGAATTACAAGAAGACGACTCTGATCAGTTAGATGATGATATTGTTGATAATGAAAAAAAAGAACCGGTGAATATTTTTTCTAATCGATCGGTTTCTAGTGGATTACGACAAAATGAAATATTTGATTCTTCTGATGAAGAGGAAGAAGACGATGACGAAGAAGATGACGAATATGAAGAATTGGTTTGTATTTGCTGATTTTTTCATACTTCATAATATACATATCAAAGTTGAGATTATTAATCGATTCGGTATTGTTACGACTTATAATTATAAAAAGGAAATAGATGAAGCGGATCAAGAAATAATAAGTAAATTCATGCCGAGCGGAAAGCAAAAAGAGAAACTAACTTTGGCTGATATTATTATGGGAAAAATCGATGAGAAAAATGCAAAGACGAAAAAACCAGTCTCGCAAGGTATATATATCTCTCGATTTGATTTATTTTTATTTTTGATCATATATATTTATTTATATTTTCAAATTCACAATGATTTAAGAAAAACAACAGATTGATCCTAAAATCATTGAAGTGTACACAAAGTAAGCAACAAATCATTATTTTGTTTTTCCATTCAAAAAATATCGACCCTTAATATCTATCATTATACTGTTTATTAAAAGAGTCGGAACACTATTAAGCCGATACAAATCCAGTAAACTCCCAAAAGCTTTCAAAATCATACCCTCGTTATCGAATTGGGAAGATATTTTGTATCTTACGCGTCCGGAAAATTGGACGGCCAATGCCACATATCAGGCAACCAGGATATTTGCATCTGTGAAGCCGAAACAAGCGCAGAGGTATTTATGTGTTTATGCTGTTTCGTTTAAAAAAAATAACATAAAAAGATAATTGAATAATTAATTTCTCAATTTTAGATTTTTCGATTTGGTACTATTAGAAAAAACACGCGACGATATCCAAGAGAATAAGAAACTCAATTACCATCTTTACATGGCTCTAAAAAAAGCGCTGTACAAACCAGCAGCTTTTTTCAAAGGAATACTATTTCCCTTGTGTGAGGTAAGTGACAACTTATGAAATCGTCTAATACACACATACTATTATTTCTTAAATTTGATTTATATTTAATATTGATAAAGTCTGGTACATGCACGCTAAAAGAAGCAGCAATAATCGGCAGTGTGATCGCGAAAGTCAGTATTCCCGTACTACATTCATCGGCCGCGTTATTACGTCTCGCGGAGATGGAGTACAGCGGGCCGAACAGCTTATTTATTCGTATACTACTTGATAAGAAGTACGCGTTGCCGTATAAAGTGGTGGATGCGTTGGTGTTTCATTTTCTGCAGTTTAAAAAGGATGAGCGTATGATGCCTGTTTTGTGGCATCAATCATTTTTGGTTTTTGCACAAAGGTGAGTGATACAATTATTGGATAGGTGGTTACAAACAATGTGATAAGTCTTGTTTATTTATTGACCTCTCTCTCTTATTCGTTTTAGGTATAAACAAGACCTTACCCCGGAACAAAAAGAAGCTTTACTCGATTTATTGAAATATAAGGCTCATAATTTGATCTCTCCTGAAATTCGTAGAGAGATAGTGAATTCTGTGGCGCGTGGTGAAATGCTGTATGATATTGAGATGAATGATGTGTAGCAATGAAAATAATGCGAGAATACAATTTACTGTTTAATATCCACGAAATAAAAAATATTTAATTCTTCCGAGTTTATGTATAGAAGCATTATAGGACCAATGGATCCTGTTGGCCTTTTGATGTTGCTCAGGTTTCTTTCACTATAAATGAATTCACTGCAAGATAAAATACAGAACAAAATCACCTACTTAATCACTTGTTTTTATGTAACACGTATAAAATCACGTGCAAATTCACAAAAACTTTATCACGCGCACATTTTCGATTTAAACATTTTTCGCGAAATTGAAATTTGAACAAATGTACAATTACGTTGTCACAGCTCACAAACCAAGTACAGTACACGGTGCTGTGACAGGTAGCTTTACGTCGCCTGATGTAGCAAACTTAATTCTACAGTATGTGTCATGCTTTTTCTTTTTGGCATCAGTGAACAAGAGTTCTTACGAAAAATCGTTCTTTTAATTAATTAGCAAGTTGACGCGCGTGGAAATATTCGTGCTTGCGCCGGAAGGCTTGAAGTCTTTTCTAGATTTTCCTGTATATGGCCGAATTGCCAATTTAAAGATATATCGTCCTGTGGTAAAGTCAATTTGCGTAAATTGCATAAAAATTTAAATTATCACAATTCGCGCACTAGTTTCAAGAAAACTTGAAGTTTGTCTTGTACAAATACAGAATTAACTAATTCTCTTATTTAAAAAATCGTTTCGTTACGGAAACATAACACATTTTACAAACATACATTGCAATATCTAGGGCCGAAAAACAGACCTGCTATTTATTTCCACCGAATCATACAAGTTTTTCGTGCTCTCATTCGATATGACATCACAAAACATCGTAACCGAATCGATGGGTGACTTATCAGAAAGAGTAGGAACACCGGCCGATAATGGTCAAATATGTGTGATAGATCCCGCGTGTCGATTACTTGCTTTACATCTATATCATGGCAACTTGAAAGTGATTCCAATGGAAATGCCACCATCATCTAACCCAAAAAAAAGGGTAGTGATAAAGGGTCATCATCAAACATCACGAGAGCCTGGGCAATTTAAAGACACGTTCAATATAAGGTGGGTAGGTGGTATTGACTTCGTCATGTTTTCCTTGGGTTTTTCAATCGCAAGCGTATCTAATAGCTAAGAGGTGTTATTATTATTATTATCCGGCTGATGAATGATCACAGACTTTCAGAACTACAGATACAAGCTATGACGTTTCTGTATCAGACTGCCCAACCTACCTTGTTGATGATGCATGAAGATGTTCATGGCGTTCGTCAAATAAAAACGTACATTGTGAATATTAGGGATGAAGAACTTATTGAGGGTCCTTTGCATATCGATGATGCTGGAAATGTTTTAGCAATAGCAGCTGTTCCTAAAGGTTATTTTTGTTTTTTTGATAAATTTAACATAAGATAGTTGATGTTGCCTTTAACTTCAGCTTAGTATATCTAAAAAATAATTATTTTTTTAGGAGGAATATTAGTGATCACAGATCTCAAGATAACCTTTTATGACAGAGAGTTTCGTCCAAATGAGATCTTGCATTCAGAGTCAACACCTGTAAAGATGTATGCATTTTATACAATAATCCAAACCTGAAAATACTTTTTCCGCATATCAATTACTGACGACTGGATATATTAAAAATAGAGTAGCTCCAATAGATTTAGATGGTTCTCGATATTTGCTTGGCGACGACAAAGGAGAGCTACGTCTCCTCGTGATACCTCACGTTGGGCCCATGAAAATTGAAATACTTGGAAAGGTTTGCTATTTATTATTTGATCTTTTTTTCCTTTCTTATTATTTAAGTTTTTTTCGTTTTTATCATTATAGACTTCTCTGCCTCATTGTATAGTTTACCTAGATAATGGCTTTGCTTTCGTGGGATCTCATTTCCATGACTCTGTGTTGATTAAGTTACGACATGAACCTAATGAACAAGGTTCTTATTTCGATGTGGTGGAACGGTTCACGAATTTAGCGCCGATTGCAGATTTCTGCGTGGTTGATTTGGAAAGACAGGGACAGGTATTTTTTTTCTCTTTATAATTATTTCCTTTACCTCACTTATTGTTTAAACTGTCTAATATTTTAAATATAGGGACAAATAGTAACATGTTCGGGTGGATACCAAGATGGAACACTACGAATCATTCGAAATGGCGTTGGAATCACTGACCAAGCCACGCTTGAGATGAGGGGAATCCGTGGTGTGTGGTCATTGCGACCGTACTTTGATGCTGGGTTGGTGCAAAAATTTATATACAGTTCATTGAAAGAATCAAAATTTTATTGACGACGATTTGTCCTTTACAGCTCTGACGACACTATTGTTATCTCATTCGCAAGTGAAACGCGTATACTGACAATGATCGACGGTGAAGAACTACAGGAAGTCGAAGAATTTTATAATTTTAATTTGAATAATATGACATTACACGCAGCAAATATATTGGGAAATATGTTAGTTCAGGTAAGTTTCCTTTATTCTGCAATTGTTATTCGTTTTTATTAATATTTGGGACTTGCTAAATTTGACGAATTGGTATCTTTTAGGTCACTGAAGAAAGTATACGGTTAATTAATTGCATGGACCAAAGCATTGCGTCAGAGTGGTTTCCAAGTACTTTTGAAGGTAAGATTACGGTCGCTTCTGTGAACCCAACTCAAGTGACCATTGCACTTGGTGGTGGATGTTTGGTGTACTTTGAAATCAGAGGGACGGAACTTGTGCAAGTAAAGTACGTTTTAAATCAAAACTTTCATAAAACCATATTTATTCGAATAATTTATAACCTCTTCATTTTTCTTAGTCAAACAAAATTAGAACATGAAATCGCATGTTTGAACATAAACCCCATTGACCCATTAACGCCATACAAATCCGCAGTGGTAGCTGTAGGTCTATGGACAGAGATCAGCGTTGCGGTATTAAGTTTACCAGAACTGAAACTGATTACCAAAGAATCTCTCGGCGGGGAAGTAATGCCACGATCAGTTCTATTTGCAAGATTTGATAATATGTATTATTTATTGGCTGCATTGGGCGATGGACAATTATTCAATTTCATTTTCGATCCGGTAAAAGGGACAATAAGTGAAAAGAAAAGGTTGTTGTTGGGAACTCAGCCTGTTACACTAACGACGTTTATTTCGAATGGCACGAGTAATGTTTTTGCTGCTTCGGATCGGCCGACTGTCATTTATAGCAGTAATAAAAAGTTGTTATATTCTAATGTTAATGCAAAGGTATGGGTTTGTGATAAATTATTTTTGTTTCCTTTGATTGAATCGAATTGGTTGTAATGCTTTTTGCGTGTACAGGAAGTAACATACATGTGTCCATTCAATTCCGCATCTTTCCCAAACGCTTTGGTAATCACACACGAAGAAGGTTTGACAATTGGGACAATTGACGATATTTCCAAACTTCATATCCGAACTATACCATTGAATGAAATGGCACGTCGTATATGTTACCAAGAAGCATCGTCGACGTTTGGTATATTGACAATCAGAGCATACATTGATGAGCCAAAGCAGTGTTATTTCCGGATATTGGACGACCACACATTTGATAGTAATAAAACTTTATTTTTCAAACTTCAACGTGTATTTATTTTTATTTAATATTATTTCTGAATATGCTATTATTATTATTCTTATTATTATTTACAGTCCTAGATGCTTTTCGAATGGAACTCTATGAGATCGTGCAAAGCCTTACTACTGTCAAGTTTGATGATTCTCCAGATTCGCCAGAGTTTTACGCTGTTGGTACTGCTTTTGCATTACCGAATGAGGATGATTGTCATAAAGGGAGGATTTTAATATTCTTGGTGGAGAAATCAGAAACAACACAGAAACCAAAATTACGTCTAATATCTTCATTAGAAATAATGGGAGCAGTGTATTCTCTGGCGCCATTAAATAATTATTTGGTGGCTAGTATTAATTCAAAGGTACACCAAGATTGAAAATTTATTCGAAACCCGAGTCTCTAATAATTGATTTTTCCTATTAATAATATTTTTTTCTCATAAATAAATCTATGTATATAGGTGACAGTCTTCAAACTGACACTTCCCGATTCTGGCCCTGCTCTCGTCCCAATATGTAGTAAATGTGGATTCTCGGTGGTTTATTGTATCGTTACAAGAGGCGACTTTGTGATTGTCGGTGATCTTATGCGATCCATCAGTTTATTGTTATATAAACCATTAGAAGAAAAACTCGAGGAAATCGCCAAAGATTGGAACATGAATTGGATGAACGCGGTAGAAGCACTCGATGACGATGAGTACATTGGTGCAGACACAAGTTATAATTTGTTTACGGTGCGGAGGAATTCCGATTCGACACTTGATGATGTGAGAAGTCGGTTAGACGAAGAAGGGGTCTTTCATTTAGGAGATATGGTTAACCGATTTCGTCATGGTATGCATAATACATTTAATAGCTCATTTATATCGTATATAATTTGGGAAATCGAATGTATTCGTAGGCTCACTGGCGATGAATCTTCCCGAGACGGACCCAATAGCTACACCATTACTCCTTTACTGCACAGTATCGGGGGCAATAGGAGTCATCGCTACGGTTAACGAAAAGAAACATGATATTCTATGGGAGCTGCAACGGTCTATGCGACATATGATCAAAGGAATAGGAGGATTAAAACACAAGCGGTAATATATCTCTGTATTAATTACACTACTAAAATTCAATTTCCCCATTTATCTTTCTAATTTATAATATTAATGATTAACAGATGGCGCTCATTCAATAACGAACGTCGAATAGTAGAAGCACGAAAATTCCTCGACGGCGATCTAATAGAATCATTTCTAGACTTGAGTCGTAAACAGATGGAACAGATTTCCGAGGAGACGGGGTACAGCGTCGAAGATCTGTTCAAGACTGCGGAAGAACTTACGAGGGTGCATTGAAGCAAAAATCACGATGATTTGTATTATAAAAGATGATGAAATGAAACATGTATTTTTTAAAAGTATTATTATTAATAGATTGATGACAATAGTAATGACGGTAACGATAGTGATAGTAATAATGTTAATTTACACTTTGGTTGTGTTGTTAACATTAGTTTTGACATAGTTGTAATGTACATAGAAAGTAATTTTTGTTTTAACTATCACATTTTTTTATTTTTTATATATATATTTATTCATAATATGAAAAAGCTAAAATATTGGATTAGCAAAATTCTATTATTATCATTATAATTATAATTATAATTATTAATAAACAAATAGCAAACAGAAATAATTTCAAAGATAATTGATACTTATTATTATAATGAAAAGTTTTGTTTTTCTTAGAATAAAAACATTAATTAAATGATTTTTTTGGAAAAGATTTAAAAAATTAGCCAATCAAAATAAATTATTATAATATTTGATTAATATCAAATTTTTCTTTCTAATATATACACTACCTGGACAAAAGTCTTGCACACCGAAAAATTTTAATTGTACAAAATTACACATAATAATTATATTTC